CAGAAGATGTAGATTCTCTGATTCTGGATGACAATGCCTCCTTTCACAATGTGTTTGCCAAGGATACCATGCAAGGCAAAGCACAACCATCCAGGCAACACAAAACAAATCTCAAGCAATACCAATAGAATGAGAAGAGGCAAGACAACAAAGGCCAAGAGCACAAATCTTATACCTTACCTAAGCCAGCAATGCCTAAAATGGATTTCCCTGATTTTGAAGGTTCTGACCCAAAGGTCTGGCTAGACAATTGTAGAGACTACTTCGAGCTTTACCAAATCCCTGAAGGCATGTGGGTCACTGCAGCCAGAATGCATCTAAAAGGGAAGGCAGGCAAGTGGTATCAAGCATTCAAGCAGAAGAACACATTCAGGAGTTGGACACACTTCTGTGGAGTTATAGAGCAAGAATTTGGGTCTGATGATTTCAGATCATCTATGCATGACCTGTTGGCACTCAAGCAGACTGTATCTATTGATGAGTATACAGAACAATTCCAAGCACTCCAGTATAGTGTCACAATGCACAATGCAGGGTATGATGACATGTTCTTCTCACAGCAGTATGTTATGGGTCTCAAAGAGGATATCAGAGGCATGGTGGAGGCTCATAGACCTCCAGATGTCTTGCAGGCTTCAATTCTAGCCAAGATACAACAAAGAACAGTGGACAGGGGGAAGTCCAGGTACCCAAGACAACCATATCCACCAAGACCCTACCAGACAAAGATAGATCCCAAGTCTGCCCCTACATCCTCCAATCTATGGCAGGACAGGCAACTAAGGGACTACAGAAAAGCTAATAACTTATGCTACAATTGTGGGGAGAAATTTGTTCCTGGACATCTAGAGGTCTGCAAAGTCAGAAACAAACCAAAAGTCAATGCTTTAGCTTTAAACAACTTGGACAGAGAACTCAGGGATGAGGTTCTCGATGAACCTGACTGTGGAAGATGCTCTACATGAAGAATTCTCGCCAATTATCCTCAATGCTTTGTCCAGCCAAGACAAGCAGATTGTATCAAACTCAAAACCAGGGTCAAAGACAAGGTTATGCTCATTTTGGTGGACGGTGGGAGCACTCATAGCTTCATCGGCTCTCAGTTTGTTACAATGGCTAATATACCAACCATTCCAATCTCACCAAGAAAGGTGAAACTGGCTAATGGGGAATGGATTACTACCAACAGTATGGTATCCCAACTTCAGTGCTATTGCCAAGGACAGACTTTCACAATAGATATGATTGTCCTGGACATGCAGCCATATGATGCCATCTTGGGTTTTGATTGGCTTCGAGCTCATAGCCCTATGACATGTGACTGGGAACACAAAACATTACAGTTTCAGGAGCAAGGCAAACTCATTCAGCTTCAAGGGATCAGTGCCCCACCTCTCCAAATCGCTAACATCTCTGCACACAAGGTATATAAGGCCACCAAAGGGAATGACCTCTGGGCCTATGTTTTGCTGGAACAATTACCCCATCCACCCCACTCACAGTACCCCAAACCTTCTCAACCTGATGAAGCCATACAACATCTTGTGGCACTATACAAAGATGTGTTTACAGACCCAAACTTCTCCCACCACAAAGAACCTATGACCATGCAATTCCTTTAACACCAGATTCCATACCAATCAATGCCAGACCCTATCACTACTCCCCTGCCCACAAGACAGAAATAGAACAACAAGTACAAGAGCTCCTCCAGGCAGGCCTTATTACACATAGCCATAGCCCATTTACTTCCCCAGTCCTCCTGGTCAAAAAAAAGGATGGAACTTGGCGATTTTGTGTTGACTACAGGAAGCTCAATGACATGACTATCAAAAATAGATTCCCTATGCCAGTGATTGAAGAGATCTTAGATGAACTTTCAGGAGCCAGGGTGTTCACCAAGTTAGATATGAAGGCGGGCTATCACCAAATTCGAATGCTACCCGAAGATGAGTACAAAACAGCATTCAAAACCCATCAAGGGCACTACCAGTTCAGGGTCATGCCCTTTGGCTTAACCAATGCTCCAGCCACCTTCCAATGTGTCATGAACGAAGTATTGAAACCTTTTCTCAGAAAATTTGTCTTGGTCTTCCTAGATGACATCTTGATATATAGCCCGTCAATGGAGCTGCATCTTCACCACTTGGAGCAAGTGTTGCAAACACTAAGGAAGCATCACCTACACCTCAAACGGTCCAAATGTACCTTTGCTCGGGATGACTTGGAATACCTAGGCCACATCATTTACCAAGCACAGGAGTGTCCCCGATCCTAGCAAAATCTACGATATGCTCAAGTGGCCAACACCAACTACAATGACTGAATTGAGAGGCTTTACGGGGTGCGACAGGATACTATAGACGATTTGTCAAAGGTTATGGTACCTGGCTAAACCATCGACTCAAATCACGAAACTCAAGTCATTTGCTCGAATCCAATGACCCGATCGCATTCCATGCTCTCAAACAAGCCATGATTGAAAAACACGATTACTAGCTATACCCAATTTCCAAGAAACCTTTACAGTGGAAACAGATGCATGTATGGATGGTATAGGGGCTGTCCTTATGCAAAAGGGCCAACCAGTTGCCTACCTGAGCAAAGCTCTGGGGGAAAAACACAAAGCCCTTTCCATATATGAAAAGGAGTTTCTAGCCCTTATCATGGCTGTACACAAGTGGAGACACTACCTAGAGAGAGGCGAGTTCATAATCCAAACTGATCACAAGTCCTTAGCCTATCTCAAAGACCAGAACCTCCATTCTGACATGCACCAAGGCAATGACAAGAATGATGGGCCTCAATTTCAGGATAGTGTACAAAAAAGGCAAAGAAAACCAAGCAGCAGATGCCTTGTCTAGAGTTGGCCATCTCATGGCCATACAAGCTGTTTCAACAGTGCAACCAACATGGGTACAGGAGGTTCTCAATTCCTATGCCACCGATAGCCATGCTCAAACTCTCATTCAGAAGCTCTCCATCACCAGTCCAGACAACCAAGGGTATAGTTTCGACAAAGGTCTCATCTGGCACAATGGCAAAGTGCGGATAGGCAATAACTCAGCTCTGCTGAGACCAAGCTAATTGCACACTCTCATTCCGGTGCCATTGGAGGACATTACAGGGTAGTGACCACTTATTACACAGTGAAGAAGCATTTCTCATGGAAGGGCATGAAAACCGATGTGGAAAACTATGTCAAGCAAGTAGTAGCATCCGCCAACATGCTAAACACTCCTCGCAAAGACCCAATGGGTCTGCTCCAACCATTACCAACACCTAAAGGGGTGCAAGATCTCACCATGGATTTCATAGAAGGTCTCCCCAAATCGAGGGTTTCAAAGGCGTCATCCACGGTCATTGTAGACAGATTGACTAAGTATGCCCACTTCGACTCTCAAACACACCCATACTCAAAGTGACTACTATAGCTCAAACATTCTTGGACAATATAGTTAAACTTCATGGGTTTCCCTTGTCCATCACTGGCCCAGCAGAGATCCTATTTTTGTCAGCAACTTTTGGAAACAACTATTCACCAAATACAAGATTCAACTCAACCTAAGTACAGCTTATCACCCTCAAACAGCTTATCACCCTCAAACAGATGGGCAATCTGAGAGGGTCAACCAATGCCTTGAGATGTATCTCAGATGTGCAGTTCATGACTCCCCATTAACATGGAAATCTTGGCTGTCATTGGCAGAGTTATGGTACAACACCTCAGTCCACTCATCACTAGGCTGTACACCTTTCAAGGCCCTCTATGGGTATGATGCTAATCTAGGTGCCATATCAACTATTACACCAGACACCAATCCAGATGTTAACGAGGTCATTCAAAACAGGAAGTTCCATCTTCAGTCCCTGAAAGAACATCTAGCAAGAGCTCAAAACAAGATGAAACAAACTGCAGATACTAAAAGAACAGATTTTCAGTTCACGGTGGGGGATCAGGTCCTGCTGAAACTACAGCCCTATACTCAATCATCTGTGGCCAACAGGCCCTTCCCAAAACTGGCTTACAAGTACTATGGCCCTTATACCATTCTTCAGCGTATTGGTCAAGTTGCCTACAAATTACAACTACCCGAGAACTCCCAGATTCATCCAGTGTTTCACATCTCCCAGCTCAAGCCATACATCCCGGATCACTCCCCTGTTTATGACACTACACCTGTGCTCACAGATCTCGAAGCTGCAAAAACGGTCCCTCTGGCAGTACTGGAGCGCCGCATGGTGAAGAAGGGCAATGCAGCAGTCCCTCAGGTCAAGATTCAATGGACAGGGCTACCAGCATCAACATCAACCTGGGAAGACTACTACGTCGTCAAAACTCGTTTTCCAGATGCTCCAGCTTGGGGACAAGCTGATTCTCGCGCCGGGGGAGGTGTCAAACCCGCGTGAAGGCGTGCCACGAAGAGAAGAAGGCGCCAAGCTGTTCTATTTACGCATTGTTGATTTTACGTTTTCAGTATTAGACTATGACCATTTGGGTCCACTGGACAGGATTGTAAGCAGCACATAAGTGCCTGCATTGCTCTGTATTGAGACATTCAGACATTTAGTAATACATACGACGCCAAGGCAGGGGCTTGCCCGCCGGCGCCAGGGTTCCGTCGAAATCCCGTTGTTCCGCTCACATCGCCGGTGACCCGCCGCGGCCAGGGGTGTGACAGCGAGCTGTGGCGATGACCTGGCGTCGTGCGGGGGACCTTCGAATCATGCGCTTGCAGCGGTTGCGCGATGGATTAGCGCTCGGGGCGGGGGATTAGCGCGCCAGGGGGAGGATTAGCGTGCGGTTGATTTTCCTTTTTTTCCGATCGGGAGGGGGGTTATTTTGGGACGGGATTATGGCCCACTTTAGCGTGGAAATCCGTTTGAGTGGTACTCTGGGCATACCAACTCGAGAGGTTCTCACAACAGAATTATCAAGTGAAATGTTCCGCGCTTCATGTTGAATCTCAGCTGCTAACAGGACAGATGGGTTTCCTCGTTCACCGATTCTGGAAATCAGCAGAGCTTTTTGTGTAGGTGAAGAACGGAGATTCATCAGGTAGGTTTGCATAAACTTTGCTTATGTGACGGATGATTTCCCAGTCTTCATGATTGGGAAGTAATCTTTCAAACAGTTCTGCTCTGCCAACTATAGTGAATGTCTGCAGCATGGATGCATTAGTAGCAACCCAATCTGGAAGTTCTCTTATGTCTCTATCTACAACGCGGACATGACTAAGGTGGACTTCAGTGACATCCTTCAACCGAGAGCAACCAAGGACTATCAAAACTTCAAGTAATGGAATATTTGAGATTTTTTGAAGTTCATTGCAGGCTTGGATAACCAATTCTTTGAGCACAGGCAAGTCCTCAATGATTTGCCGGCTATCCATACGGTGTAGTTGCATGCTTGTCAGGACTTTCGAGTTTTTTATGCCAGATGGCAGGTTACACAGCTTAGGACAATTCTCCAGACGGAATTTCACAAGGGAAGGCATATCACCAGGTGAAAATCCTATCCATGATTCAAGATTGGGCATGTCTCGAAGGTGCAACTGCTCTAGCCTTGGAAACGCCTGATCGGTACCTGTTTGCTCTTGCTTAATGGTAACTAACTTGGAACAGGCTGTTATAGTCAGGAACTTGAGTTCGGTTAGCTGGCCCAGGTTGGGAAGATGCTCGCAGAATTTGCAATCAGTAAGAACAAGCCGCTGGAGGTTTGAGAGATTAGGTAGCCAATCAGGGAAAACTTTTCCATAATAGCTCACTATTTTCAGAGATTTCAAGCAGTGTGGAGGAGAAAGGCAACCAAATACATCCTTAAGTGTTCTAGCATCTTCTTCTTGTACTTCAGACTGTCTATCATCATTGCTACAACATAGTTCAAGTTCCTTGAGGTGTGACTTCGTTTCCAGCATGGCTTCTTGCACCCTCAAAGGATCTGAGACTCTTTCCAACCTCGGAATCTGCAGGCTTCTCAATGCATCTAGAGATTCTAGGTCTTCCAAAGGCCACCCAGTTGGATCATCCTCACGCTTGGATTTACGGTTTACTACGAAGCCATGTAGCGTGGACAGCTGCTTCAGATTTACCAAACTTGGTAGGACCTGATGCAAGTTGGTTCCTCGAAGATCAAGATATCGCAAATATTGCAGTTTACCAATTCCATTTGGAAGATTATGTAGCCAATTGCAGTATCGAAGACCCAAGAACTGTAGATTTGTTAGGCACTCAATGGACTCTGGAAGCTCTGTAATTCGTGTTAGTGAAAGATTTAGCAGTCTAAGGTGATATAGAGATTCTAATGTCCTTGGAATATACTTAATTTCAGTACCACCAAGGTCCAACACCTGCAAATATTTGAGCCCCTTAAACAGCTTGTCTAAGCTGCGATTCCCCAGTGGGTTTTTGTATAGAATAACTGTCTTCAAGCTTTCCACTGTTCCTATTTCTTCCACAGTAGTTCTTAGTAGGTTGCTTCTAATCCACACATGTCGCAGTCCTTCGCTGGAATTTCCATTGATGCTAGTCTTCAGTTCACCAGTAAAAATTTTGTCATTGACAAAGAACTGCAGAAAGGATCTAATTTGATCATGAATTGTGCATCTTGTTATGTAAATCGTTCCCAATTTCAGGCTGCAGAAGGTTCCTTGATAACAACTCCTGTAATACTCCTCTGCAGTCTCTTCAGGACTGCAGTTATCTCTTTCATCAATTAAACCCTCCGAAATCCACAGTTGACTGACAAACTGCTGCCTGATAACAAAGCCTTCAGGGAACAGTGATAAATAAATAAAGCATTGCTTCAGATGCAAGGGCAAATCATGGTATCCCAAATAGATGGCCCCAGTTAAGCCATGGACATAGTCTCGAAGCTCCCTGAAGGACCATCCTTCGCTTTCATACACTCTCTGCCAGGCCTCGCAGGTCGGTTCTTTTGTTCTTAGGACAGCCCCTATAATCTTGACAGCCATTGGAAGCTTGTTACATTTTTGGATAATCGCTATTCCGATATTCCTTAAAATGTCGCCATGTAGGCTCTCATACAGACAAGAAGCCCGGCAAAGCAAGGACCAACAATCCTGAAAAGTAAAATTTTTAACCCTGTAGATGTAAGCATCTTTCATCCGTGTCGAAATACTCTCATCACGAGTGGTGATCAAAATCCGGCTTCCATGACCACAGACATGCAAGTGAGCCTCTAGGGAATTCTCATAAATTTGATTGCTGCGGACATCATCAAGTACCATAAAGAATCTCTTTCCTTTAACAATGGCTGCCAACATGGCCTCAAGTTGTACCCTATTTTCTTCTCCACTGGGATTTCCACCAGCAGCCTTCACAATCGCAGAGAGTAATCCAATATCATCCAAGTCGTTGAAAACACTCACCCATACAACAATAGTGAATGCATTTCTGGTGCAATGATCGTCATGAATTTTCCTTGCCAGTGTAGTTTTTCCGATTCCACTATCCCCAACAATTATCATGACTTTGTTTGAACTCTTCCTCTCTGTCAATACGTCAATCAATTTATTTTTCTCATTTTGAATGTCACCCAGAGTATCATCATCGGGCACCACCCCCCAAGAAAATTCAGCGCTCCCACTCTGGCCTTCCTGGTTGATTGCTTGAAGTCCCAATTCGAAACCTTTCTGTAGAATACCATCCATTTGTTTGTTGACGCTACTGATACTGGTTTTGAAAGTCTTGTACTGGTTTCTGTCGATGTTTGATGGTAATGTAAACCAATGGCGTAACTGTCCACATTAAGATTGTAGATGATATTAGTAACCCACAAAAATACTTTGGGAAAGACTAACAAATTAATATATACGGAGTAGAAAACTTTGAAAAAAAGTTGTGGATCACACCGTTACTGATGTTCTGGTTGAATCATTTTAGTTTTTTTACCCTTTCCTGAGGCTGAACTCAGATTCACCATGCGGTTGAAAGTCCGGCTAGCGGTTAAACTGTTCAAGGCTTGGGAATTGGGCTGTCATCGGGCATTGAGGGAAAAGGCAACAAATGTTTGGCTCTCAAGTTGACACTATTTTCCAAAAAACAATTGTCACATTCACGGACTTGCCTAATGTTAGGGGCTCAAAATATTTACCACGCCTTCATAAGCCTAAGAGAATCTTGCTACATTTTTATGTGTCATTAACGTGTGCGACATAATTTACTGGAAGTGAATCTTGCCATATTTTGTGGTGGCAATAAAACAATGGCCAAAGTTGGTTAAACTTGCCCAACCTTAAACGTCATAAATCATGGCAAAATGTGACTAACAACCACAACCAGATACCTCCCTATCTGAAAAAAGCAGCGTAGGTTCATGATAGTAATCATTCCACTGATACTCGGTGGCATGCTGGCACATAGTCTAACGGCTAAGCATCCTATCGGGATACTGAAAATGCAGGCAATCAGTACCATTCAAGGCTACTTATGCACCGATCTTCTTCTCTCCTTTTTTCTTCTTTTTTCCTTTTTTTTCAACGAAAATGAATTCCTTGCCGTGGTTTCAAATTTGCTCGGCATCACGAGATCCAGGAGAAGGCAGGGAGAGCGCGCGTACCGATCTCCGGCCCTGCTGGTGCCGCCGGGCGGAGGCGCGGCGGAAGTCGTCGACAGAGTCTCCGAGCACGTAGAGCGCGTCCCGCAGATCGCGCAGCCACGCCCTGGCGCCGGCGTCGCGGCCCTCCTTCGCCTCGGCGTCCGCTGCCAGGCCCCGCGCCTTGTCGAGCTTCCGCTCCAGCCGCCGCAGCTCGTCTGCGGGGACCCCGCCTTCGCCCGCGAGGAGCGCCGCCACCGAACGGGACGCGGGCGGCAGAGCCGCGGTCGCGATCATCATGGCTGCGGCAACGTCGGCACGGCACGGCAGCGCCTCGGAGGGAACGAGAAGGAGCTCTCGCGACCACGTCGGTAAGGTCAACGCGCGGCAACTTGAGTCTTGAGACACCGGGGGATGATCGTGGGTGACGTCATCTGGCGCCAGCAACGCAGCTCGCTAATCCCCCTGGGCCCTGGCTGCACATCGTGATTAACGTAACAAGGTGGATGCCACGCTGATTAATTAATCAACTAAATTAGTTATTAATAACAGTTGATTAGAAAACTTCTGGCAAATCCTGACGGGCTGCTTTGGATCCTTCGTCCGACTGCTGCACCAACAGAAAAAAGTTAGCTATAGAGAATAGCTGCAATTTGAACTGTTACCGATTTTTTACCAGGGATTTGTCTGAATATGTAGTTCGAAGACCATGCAAATCGCAAAAGAACTTCATTTGATCACGGTACTCAGCTCAGGAATCGCAAAATATATAATTGGTCATGCAAATCAAAGCCGGGGACGGCCAAGCAATGCAAGCTGACACAACAAGCTAGTTTGTTGCTTTCCTGCTAATGCTACTTCCACTGGTTAGCAAAAGGTTGGTGTTTCAGACGTTGCTTTTCACAGGGCATGTATCTCAAAACAACGAGCTGAATTTGTATGTGAGTATGCCCAAGATTCTACACTATCTTATCCAATGATATATATACTAGTTATTACAGCTCTGCAAATCCATATTTGTTAAGACCACCAAATTACTGATGTGGAAGTACAATAGCCACTTAGCCAGACTCATTTTTGTCAACCAGAGGGCAAATTATTCATTGCTATACACTACTTCACCCCTAAATACCTGCTCTAATCCCTAACTCCCTACTTCCCCTTCCATCACCGTTTCAAAGTTTCAAAATAGGCTTGAAACAGAGTGGAAACAGCATCAAGAAACCGACGCATCAAGCATGCCTTGAGCTGTCGCCATGATCATCTCCGTGGAACCATTTGCCCAGATTCATCCTTCTCGAAGATCCTTGCGATCCACTCCTCCCATACTGCCCTGCGCCTTCCGCTGTCTGGTAGCAGCGGGGCCTCAGCTGCTTCAGTAGGGTTTTCATCGAACGTACCATATGCTGATGGCATTTTTATATCAGCAACCCCTAGCGTGATCGCACGCCTCAGCGCCTCCTGCTGCTCCTCGTCGTGATCTCTTGTTACAGTGATATCATCGCTCATCCTTTGAACTTCAGGTGCTTGCATGGTCTTCTCATTCTCCAGCAATAACTGAAATGATAGAGCTGTTAATTTGCATCCCATGTATGCACTTTTACTCAACAAACAGGCTGATGCTGAAAGTCTCACAGACAAGAAAGAAAAATCCTCCGCTGTTTGAGAATGAAAAAGGAAGGGTCTGAAAACCTCTCACCTGGACTATTGTGATTTGTGAAGCAATTTTAGGCAGGTGTTACAGACTTTGTAGTTCATTACCATAGGCAAATGACACTAACAAGCATTTCATAGGGAAACGAGTCAATTTCGACGGCAAAATGCAAACTTACATCTAATGCTCTTTGGGCCTCTCTTTCTATCCATATAATAGCATGGTCAGATGTTGCGTTGCAAGAGAGAACAATGCGTTCAAATCTCCCATCCACCGGAACTGCTGTTCTCACAAGAGGGGGGTATCTTCCACATCTGCAGCAATCAGGAATTGTTTCAATAAAATTTCTGAACTATGTATCAAAGAGGAAAAGCAAAATAACTATTTTTTTTCTAGAAGTTTGTCCTGAACATATTCATTGCTCATTGCATTATGTGAGATACAAAAATGAATTGAAACCTACTTTGCATTAGCATGAAAATTTGCACACAACAAATTGGTGAACTATCAAAGGGAGGTATATCATCACAAGTCACAATGACAGTAATCATAGCTACAGATTAACAATGGCAGATCTCCGCATTTTATTATTTTGACAATAGCATCCAGTTCTGTTGAAATAGCAAGCATTACTTACATGCTTTTTTCAGGAAAAAATATAAAGGCAAATTCATACCTGAAAGGTTTCCTTTCAACAATGTGGTAAAGCCTACCAGGTGCATAAAGGCGTCTTGGATCTCTCAACATCACACTTTCAGGTATACAGGTGTCTATTAGGCACCTTCCACATAGAAGGCATGGTAAGCTGTACAAAGAGGACTACATCAGGTACCCTGAAAACAATCAGAGATCATAAATCCCTACCAATATGCATTGTCATGTTGGTGATACATAAGAGTTAAGTTACATTACCAGAAGAGTGACTTGAAGATGTCTTCCAAAGGAATGTCTGTGCGAGGCAAAAAATCATCCTGGTTCACCAGATAGGAATATCAGAAAGATTCAACAGCATATTTCAGCTGGATTCTTGATCCAAGTAATGATAGCGGAAATTGCCAGTGGCACTGTGTTGCCAGTGCTCCACGAAAGAACAGTTCATCATATAGGTTTGATATAAGCATCAGTGGGTTGTTAAGAAATTTGAAATTGAACGGAAGGGGAATTTATTTTAGGCTCTGAAGTGGCAACAGCATAACTGAATTACAGGAGATTACCAATTTAATGCCCAAACACTTATAAAACAAGTACATATAATGACACTGTTGTGGTAGTTAACTAGTGATGGAAGCTTACCTGAAGAATCACTGCATTGATGACATCCGCATAACGGACAGCCAAATTGAGTGACATACATCGGGCTGGTGCCATTGCAAAACATCGTATCCTCTTCCTGTCTATGCCACCCAGTAACTCCCTGTTGTGCACTGCCAGCAAAGCTAGCATTGACACCACACCAGAGCCAAGAGAATGCCCAGCAAATGTGAGCGTATAACCAGGATTCCTCTCCAGAAGGTCCTTCAGAACATCACACTCAGCATCGAAAACCCACTCGGCAGCCTTAAGCAAGCCATTGTGCACGTAGCCACCATCGAACCTCCTCTGCCCAAGCTTGTTATCCAGAAGGACAGCATAGTCACTCTCCTTCATCATGTCCATTCCCGAACAGCAAGCACGACATCTGAATGTTGGTGATCAACATACAACAGGTATGTTGGTGCATGACCATGAGTGTCTTCATAGGTCCTCCGGTGCACCACCCAACGTGGCTCCATGCCATAACCACTTGGAGGCGCCCATTGGGGGTTCTCAAGGTCATCCTCATAGACCGAGAGGATGATCCGGCACAACCGTGGCACAGGCTCAAACTCTTCAGCCGACGCAACGCCCCAGGTCTCACTGTCGTAGCCTCCGGAGTGGAGGCAGCGCTGCCACACCCACCGCGCACACGCCAGGCAGTACACGCACTCGACGACTGGCAAGCAGCACGCGATTGACATCACATTAGTCGACCTTCAGAAATCGCTGCTGGGGTACTGACTAACGGATAGACTGAAAAAACAGAAGGAACAAAAACGGGTTTGTGTTATTCAGACAGACTTGAAAGAAACTTTTTGTCAGCATTGCAGAGCAGTGAGAAGATTGTGTTTGTGGATTTCGTTGAAGATCAGCTAAACTAGCTGCGGCAGAATACCATAACCATAACAGTGTAGAAGGGAAGGCTGAATCTTCTCGGTATCACATAAACAATTAAAAGGAAATCCCAGAAACAAGAAAATGACGAATATAGCGTAGCAATGGACTGCCTGACAGATCAATCAAGGGTACTTCTAAACGATTGGAATGAGCTTTTGGGAGGAAAATATTTCAGTACTTAATCTATTGGTTTTGTCCCTTGAGGCACCTGCAAAACAAAGGGGAGCCTACCACGTAGACGTAGCACTAGCAGGCAGCTACCTGAAAAGAGTCAAGACCAAGAACTGATACTAATTTTGCTGAGGGGAAAAAAGAAGACGGGCTCTTGCAGGAACCGTACTCCTTGACCAACCGACACTCCTGTTCCGCCGCTCAGCAACGAACTACTGAAGTGAACTTTTACCTCCCGATTCCCAAGTCCCGAAGCATGGGACATCAAGCAAGTCGATTAAGCAGCCGAAGACAGTAATCAACCGGCGGAAATGGAGCGAGGGGAAGGAGAATCTCACCACCCTGAAATTGAAGCTGCAGGAAGGGAGGCATCTGCTGAGACGGGATCACAGGAAGAGGGAAATAGGTGCAGGCGTGGCGAGGCGAGGCGAGGCAGGGGATAGTCGCGGCGGCAAGCCCCGCAGAGCTCCCTGTCTCCCAGGTACTTTTCTTCGCGTCAAGGCAAATAGGTGGCAGCTCGCAAGACCAGTGGCTGCAACTACTACTACTACTACGAATCAAGACTCGTGAGGACGCGGTGGGAAGGGTAGGTTTAGAAGGGGTCCTGCGTCCTGCCGGAAGACCCAGCCACGTGGCTGTGCGTACCTGTGTTTTCTGCCCACCGTTCAACTTCACGTCTAGTTTCTACCTTCTACACTCCCACTGTTAGACGTCTTCATTGAGATCTAGCGCTAACTGAATCAATTTTGTCATTAAAATAAATTCTTCAAAAAAAATTGTCATTAAATAGTATAAAAATTAAAATACTAACATGAACTTAAGAGATAGTCTTACACATTTCACACTACATCCATCTCACACAACGTGATGTCTTCTATATTTTACAAGCTAGATTTATAGAAATAGTTCTAGATTCCTGATACAAAATTATCTTCTATATTTTAGAAACTATATATTTTTTTAATCCGTTGGAGGAATCCAACCAATATGTTCCTAACTTTTTGGGCCACTTCTAAAACTCATTGATTACCAATTATTTTTTTTGGAAAACTATTAGAGATGCTCTTAAGCATCTTCTTCTGTGATCTAGCTTAGAGCTAGCTGAATCAATTTTTTGGTTACTAAATAGTGCAAAAAATAAAATAGATTGTCTCGCACATTTCATGATACACTCATCTCACAGAGCGTGATGTTCAGTACTGCATGTTGTAGTATTTCTCTCATTCATATCTATTAGATTAGAGCTAGTGTTAGCTTATATCGTTGAAGACACTCTTAGTAGGATTATATGAGTAGGGTTGATACAATGGCCTTTTTCCGATCCATGTATATCTCGCTTTTCGATGAATCAACCAATCTCAAGTTAAAAAATATTAATATTTATGATACTAAATAAGTACCATTAGATTAATCACGTCATACATTTTTATAATATATAAACTTATTTAAAAAAATAAATGTCGAAATTATTTTCTATAAATCTAGTTAAATTTAAAATTAATTGACTATGCTTTTATTTTAGGATGGAGAAGTAAATAAAATGAAGGAGACTTTGTGCATAGTTCCAGCAGACTTGTTGACAACCTATCCATGATACTTGCTGACAAATGAATAACGGCAAAAGGTGAAACATAGATGAGATTGGACAGAAGTCACCACATGGCTGAAAGGCGGGCCAAGCTAAAAGATGTAATGGGCCCACTCTCACGGCACGCTGAGGACCCAATATGAGTCCGGCCATGGTCTATAGTATCGTCCATATAAGGGCCTGTATTGATTGGGCCGATTCCTGGCCCCTCCACATGACCACATGGGTTCGGCCGGGCCGAGATGCATTCCAAACAAAAACCTAACAGTTGCTCAAAAAAAAACTAACAAACGTTTTCATTTTACTTTATTATAATAAAGCACTTATAATTAAAAAATATACAAAGAGACTAGAGATTCCGCAACATAGTTATTATATGTCAAGCCAAACACGAACATAGTGAAACAGAGCGAATAACGAAGAGGAACTGAGTTACCTCAGCATATGCCACTGCCATCCTATGTGTCGTTATCTGTTTTCTTTGCTGACGTGGATAAATGGATCCTCTCCGGTCTCCATGGCCCAGCAGAGTGGTACAACTTCTACAGCTAGTCGCCTCGTACTGGGCAGCCACTCCCATATTCTCCAAAGTTCTCCGTGCCCTAATTTTGTAAAGAAAGCTCTTGAAGGTGCACGATCATGGCAGGCACGAAGTTATATGGTAATACTGTACGTCGCTTTGCGTAGAAGTCTGAACTAATGAACCTGGCAGTATGGATTGCAACACCTTTCCCTTCCTATTCCTAAACATGTTTAACACGATTGTTCGCCTGGCCCACAAGCTAATATTCATTCAGCTGGCCTACTAGTCTAAGCATTGGTTACATAATGATAGATACAACAGGTTACAGAAAAACATACTACTAATAATACAGAAGAAGGAAGGATGATCCGCTATCTTTTGATTGCATGATTACTAGCTAGCGAAATGCAGAGAAGGAAAAATATTGAAGGGTGTAGGCATGCTGATGAGGTGATGAGACAGTGTCACGGCCTTCATGAGCTGGAAACAAGGAAATTAAGAGGAGTGCCATTTATGTAGGGGGGAAGACTAATGATCACCTAGCTACAAAAAATCAGTTAGGTACCCCCAAGCGCGAATGAATGCATGCACCTCCCTCCAACCGTACATACATCGGTCCATCCATGGGATGAAATTCCATGCAATTTTAACAGTGGCTGCTCTGTTATCCCATGTTTTTTTTTTCTTCTTTTTCTATAGGTACAGGCTGTGTTGTCCTTAAGAAATTGTAGTTGACATTTCGAATCGGAAGAAAAAGAACAAAAATAAATAGTATCTGACTGAATTTTATTTTACCTGAGACGCAGAGAAAATATGTGTAATGTATATCCTGATATCGGCAGAGGGCGTATCAGCGAGTCATCACTCATCAGTCATGTAAAGTTGCAACTGAAATTTCGGTGGGAATGTAACAAAGCCATTTGTGTGTTGACATGAGCCATGAACTTGCACGACCACACTCCAACCACCAACACAATCAAAATGTCCTTATTGTGGGGGCAAATGGCTCACATGGCATATACTTAACACCCTTGAAACGCCCTGTGTCTAGGCAAGCCACCAGGTTATGCATTATTGTTGCTCCGTGGAGTTCACTCACCCAAATCACCAAGAGGGCAGCATACAAGCCCTTCTGTTCTTGACCCTTTGGTCGCCATTCTCGACCAGTTCATCTCTCCCCCAGGTCATCTGATCCAGGCCTGGACGAGCAGCAAGATCAAGAGCAGCAATGAGCGATGGTTCAGGGTTCCCAGGTTTCCACAGCCACAGCTACGACCAGGACTATGCGTGCCCGTTGTTCCGTGTTGCCTCCTTCTCTGACAGTGGAGACGAGCAGGAGAATCATGTGCCGTCACCACAGGTGCGCAGCCATAGCACGAGCCGTACAGCGTCTTCAAAGGCAGTAACACCGTCACGCTTCTCGCCGTCGGTGAGCAGGCCGAGCATGAAGAAAATGCAGCAAGTTATTGATGAGAAGTCAATGGAGGAGGAAGGTAACGGATGGCAGACCTGTTTAGTTGATGTTCTTTGTGGTGTTTTCTGGTTCTTGATGATGGCTTCTCTTCTCTTTCAGAGATGGAGCTGATGAAGGAGAAGTACGCGAAGTTGCTGCTTGGGGAGGACATGTCAGGGAGCGGCAAAGGTGTCTGCACTGCTGTGGCCATATCCAATTCCATCACCAACCTATATGGTATCTAATCGTGAAAATTCCTCATGCATTCATCCTTTAAACTCACTTTGATATAATGCAGGCTTCTCTTCTTGTTCTTTTTTTTTTGAAACAAATTCTCTTCTTGTTCTTAACTGCAGCAACAGTGTTTGGGACCTGCCACAGGTTGGAGCCACTGTCCCCTGAGAAGAGATCAATGTGGAACAGGGAGATGGATTGCCTCCTCTCCATTTGTGAATACATTGTCGAATTCTCACCCACTGTCCAGACCATGCCTGATGGAAGCACACATGATGTAATGCCATCAGATCATCACTCATCTCAAATCTTGATGTGTTTCATCGATCCTCATGGCATCATGATTCAGATTCAATTTTCTGATTTCAACAGGTGATGGCAACCTCACCAAGATCAGACATCCTGGTGAACCTTCCTGCGCTTGAAAAGCTAGAAACCATGCTCCTCGTGAGTCTTGATTCACATAACCCTCTCCAAAAATCCATTCTGGTACCGTAATGTATGTCTGAATTTCTTTCTGTAGGGTATATTGGACAGCTTTCACAAGCCAGAGTTCTGGTATGAAGACAAGAGAAACCAATCCTTCAATGAAAGCAAGAAATCATTCCAGCGAAGTGAGGACAAATGGTGGTTACCTGAGCCATGTGTCCCAGACTCTGGGCTATCTGATTGCATGCACCGTGAACTGCAGCAGAAGAGAGACCAAGCAAGCCAGATCCACAAGATGGCCATGGAAATCAACAGCAGTATCCTCTCTGAAATGCAGGTTCCATTATCATACTTAGAGACACTTCCAAAGGTATGTCAGTTGCTTAATCTGATCCTCCCAGCCAAAGACTTCCTTTTGATACATGTTATGTTACCCCACAGAGTGGGAGGGCGGGTGTAGGCGATGCCATCTACCGGTATATGTCTTCAGGGGATCAGTTCTCTCCAGAGCATCTCCTCAACTTCCTCAATTTGAGCTCAGAACATGAGGCACTTGAGATTGCAGACCGTGTTGAAGCCGCTATGTATGTGTGGCGAAGAAAAGCAGGCACAACACATGTGGTGTCCAAATGGGAGAATGTTACCGAGCTGAATGCTGATGGAGACAAGAATCTGATCCTTGCCAGTAGGGCCAGAAGCTTACTCCTGTGCTTGAAGCAGAGGTTCCCAGGCCTGTCGCAGACTACCCTGGATACAAGCAAGATTCAGTACAACAAGGTAATGGTTAATATAAAAGAAACAGGAAAATTTCAGGTTATTCCATGTTTATCTGCATTTTCCCTGTTACCAGAAAACTTGTTCACCATGAAATATTTAAGTATACTAGTTGATGCTTACACAAAAAGAATTAAATGTACTAACTGTTTTGATAATCACATTAGATCAGAACCAAAATAGACAGATTTTGCGTTCAAGAACGGTAATGCAATATAAGTAACATTCTTGCATCTTACCTTCTCACAGGACATTGGACAAGCAATACTGGAGAGCTACTCAAGGGTGCTGGAAAGTTTGGCTCATAATATAGTGTCATGGATAGATGGTATTCTCATTGCCGATGAAAATGCGAGAAAAGGGCACAAAACCAGGATGCAGAAGCAGGTGTTCAGCCAGATTTCACCCCAACGCTGAACATAGCAAACTAACATACAAATACATACATTATGTTGCATAGAATTCTTTGTGGTTTGCCTCATTAACTTTTTCTAGAGTGGTGTGTGCTTGCTCATTTGTTTGAGATAGGGCTGTGTGGTAGATATAATGATGTATGATAGCTCGATTACATATGTAGATCATAATGGAAATGGAATGAGAGAAAGGGTTGCGACCAGAAACTTGCAGTTTGATTCTGTTGCTATTTCATGGAACATATTCTCCATAATCTACACAATAAGCATTTTACTTCCCTTAACTTTGGAATGTCATACCCTGGGAGAGTTAGAGTAAATAATATCAAAGAAATAATTCTGGTATGGACACGGAACACTGGTCTACGTCTTTTGCTGTGAGCAACAAAATTAGATAATGTGCAGCTCCACCAAAGAAAACATGTACCTTCCAATTATGAAAATAGTATATTTCAAGAATCAGTAGATGTGAACATCTTACAATTGCAGTACCTAAATATAGGTTCAAATAAAGTACATTTCCTCCTTGTATCGGCTTGTACACATGCTATTCCTAGCCCTTCCAATGTTCCTCGTGATTTGTGCAACTTGTCTTCTCAAATTCCATATGTCCCAACACAAATCAAAATTCAAATCCCCATTCCATCATCTCTCAGAAAAACCCCCCCCCCATCTAGGAATGGCACCCTTGTCTTCTTTGGAAAGTTGCATTGCCATTTATCAACAAATCAATCTCTGAATAATTCCTGGTGACAGGGAAATTTTACATCCCCAAAACAAAGCAATTTGAATAACATGGTAGGTATAATGCACTGTTATCTGCTGCAACTGGCTGCCTGAAAGGATTGACCTGGATCTGGAAAAGACATGATAGATCATGATGATGTATTTGATTTTCTCAATGCCTACAATTGGAAAGAAACGACAATGACAAAGTATAACACATACTGGGATTTTAGGGGGTTGACCAGTTATGGAGCTTATGCAGCAGGATGCTAAATGTGCAGCTTCTTCACAGAAGTCCGTAAAGATTGCAGGAATCCCAGTCCGACGTATTATTTCCTTAAAGTCAAATGAAATACGAATGATAATGAGCACCAAAAAGTAAAGCTGATTGCAGGCTAAGGAAAAATAATAGATGATATGATCTGGTACGATGCAGCAGCATAATGAATTTTCAATATAATGTCAATGTAACAATAACATATTGACATCCCGTGCTTCAATAAAATATGAGTAATATGGTTGACGGAAATTGCTGTGTTACAGAATACAGATGCAAAAGATTTCAATCCATTGTGCAAATTTATGTTCTGCATGCATGCCTCAGAATCAGATTGACTAGTTAAATAATATTAGGAAAGTAGGAACGAACAGTGTCATATGTCGTCTCACAGGCACTAACATGTTCACCGCAACAGGAAGTTGTTGTAGGAAAACACGAGGCTGTTAATGTAAGCGAGTATATACATGTCTAATAGAGATACTCACAATAGTTGGCATCCAACTAGGGTATGCAGCCACACCAGCATTTGGGGCAAAAATAAGATGAGGAATTGAGTCCTACCAAGAGGAAAAGTATTAGCAGGTAGTATTTCCGCATTAAGAGGAAAATATTTCAAAGAGTAGCTGCCAACTGAAATTATCTGGTGAGTGAATCATTTTTTATCAGTTTCAAACAAGAGACATCCTCATGTCACAAATGGGAGAACACGCTCCACATCCGTTGGCAAGAATAGCAGTTAGGTATATGCAGTGGCAGAGCATGGCCTTGAACAGGGGGAGGGGGCGGGGGCTAATTCCTGTTGCTTCTGACATAGCTACCTAGGGACTGCTGGTTTCTTTACTCATGCATGGACTAGCTAGCTCTGATGTGCGACATTTAAAAAACTTTCTACTTTAATAGTGGTCATGTGACGTATGTTTCTACTTCAATAGTGGCTGTCCGCCTGCAGAAGTAGCAGATGTGAGTGTGACAACGCCAGGCAAGGGGGGGCCTGAAGCCCAGCTTCGCCTCCACTACGCTCTGCCACTGGGTCTATGGTTCAGCGCACAAGCCAGCTGTAGCTCTGGTAGGATCAGCAAGCAGCGGTGGCAGGCTCATGGGTGAGTGGTGCTCTTTTCTTTTCTTACTTTAGTTTGTAAATTAGAAGAAAATCAGAAATAGACCTGCTAGGAGATGAGTTCTACACATTCCAATGATTATTGGAGAGTTGAACATACAAGATACAACAAAAGAAAAAGACTGCAAATAACTTAGTACTTCTAGAATTAACTGGATCTAAAACTATGCACAGCACCAGTCAATACAGAACTGTGTGCGATGCATGTGAAAGCTTGTCAGTATTATCATTGTTTCTAAACTTTACAATCAATGGCATGCTTGGGTCTATAATATGGTGGGTAACTTCACATCATTTCAGAAAATAGTAGTAGTTGTAGAGAGAACCTTCATTATATCACTGCATCTCTCATGATAGAAACCTTTCCACAGTTTGAGTGTCACTGCAGTGCAGCTCAAGTCTTTGGAACCAATAGAAGATTTACAACAGCAGCTCTCATCAGAACAACATGCATATCTGGAAATGTTTACAACCTCACCATCCCTGTGAACAGGTACCATACCAGTTACAGAACCAGGGAAAAGAACATAAACTCAAACCAATATATCACTGAGGAGCATATAGTAGCTAATTTAAAATGTAGATCTTGTTGAATAAAGCACAGAACAAACAAATAAGAAGATGAGATAAAGAACGTTTTGTGGGAATGTGGGTGTGTGGTTTGTAAGGGTTCTTCCCCTTTTTCTTCTTAATATAATGATAAACAGCTCTCCTGCGTGTTTGGTAAAAAACACTAAGCTTATCAACATACAAATTACTTTTAAAAAATATTTTAATTCAAAGATATAAAATGGGAAAGGTATTGTCATCAAATTGTAAGGCAAATACCAAACTATGGATGTCAGACAAATACAAGGAAACACTAAATTGCACACTAAGCTTCTCCTATATCATAGGAGTATAGGACCAAAATGAAAACCGGCTTGTGTTGCTTACCTAGACTGGGGAACTTCTGGTCCCACAAGCTCAATGTGAATCTGGACACCTGGAAATAATGCACGTAGTTCCCCAAACGCTGCAAGCTGAAGTAGCTCCTTCTCAGGCCCTTTTAGACATTTAAGTTGCAAGTGGAAATGAAGATAGCAAAAATCAGTAGATGCTATCATAATCAACTAGCTTCAAATCAAAGTAATCAGAAAAGGACATTTCACTGGATAAATTTGACTATCTCCTGTGATGGTTTACAGTAAAACTGGTCAACGGTGCCATGACTAACACATGATTTGTTGTTAAGTGCATACAGATCACCCTTGTGCCTAATAAGCAATAAAAATACAAGCTTCACCACTTGCTAATCAATTGTGGCCACAACAGAGGCTTGTTTCTCCAGTGGAATTCAGCAGGGACGAAGAAGTTTGACTTTTCGAATGGTTGTCTAAAAAAATGCAGAAAATGATGTGTACAACTGTAATTGCACTTCAAAACTGTGGAAGAACAGTAAGCATCCATAACCAGTACTACCATAGAGCAAAAATCCTATAAGTTCCTGACAAATAGGCTACATCTGGATTTGCATTTTCCATTTTTGTTAGATATCACCTATGTTCCTCCAGGTCAGTTTGAGAGTATTTTTCCTACCATTAATAGCAATACACAAGAAAAAGGAGAAGAGTCATCCACTGATGCTGAAAAACACGAGTTCCCCGACATAAAAGATGAAATGGTGTTACCTAAATAGTGAATGCACAGGGTGTCCTGGCCATCATCTCTTGGAGTTTGCCGAGAGAGTTGAATGCAATGATATAGACTAAGTGGCTGCAAAATTGAACCTCAGGCAACTATAGAGTTGAAAGCTATGTCCATAACATGTTGCAATGTACATACCCAATGAAGTAAAACAGCAACAGGTGAATGCAGGGGAAGGGATCTCCACTCATAATAGTCTTCCCAGCTTGCCAGGACAGAAGGCACAGGATTTCTAGGCTCTGATATTTACAAAAACGGGATAATGCAATGAGATAAACATACTGCGAGTCACCACAGCAAAGGTAGAGATGCACCTGTACAAGGGCAGAGGGAGCTTTGCAAGTTCCATTCAGCTTCTATGCTGTATAATAGCAGAAAGAGCAAAAGGAATTACAAGATTTGCTGAGACTAAAATAAGAGATAAACTAAAACCATGCCATAGTTTGTTTCATGAACAATCAGACAGTGAGACTTTTTTCTCTCAAACAGACAGTGAGATCTTATCATAAACAAGAAAAAAATTATATGCAAATCCTATGAAGTGAAGAAGAGAGCAAACATGTAGCCATGAATCAAGATTATTCAGATCGATTCATATAGAGCCAAAACTAGCAAAATGATTAAAAAAATTGAGGTAGAAAACAAGAATATGCTTATGTTTCTGGTGCCAAAGCAAAATGCACCATGTTTCTAGTTCAAATTTGATGACATAAAAGGAGACAAGCTGTGAGTGTGGAATTGAAATTAAGATATCTACAGAGGACTTTCAATCAAAATAAGGAGGAAAACCTCCACAACAGCATTGCAAATTGTTGCTTTTATACTGAAAACAAGGAAGTGATAGGATTTCAACAAAAAGAAAACCTTAAGTCCTTCACAGGAGCAACATCTCGGCCACATATACATTCTGATTTCCAGAGTCCTTTCTGGTGAAGTTTGATTGATTGCAAAAATAAGCACCTTGCACTTGATAATTCATGGTTCTAAAAAAGGAAGAACTTGTGAGAGAACTAGAGAATAATTAAGCATAAATACACAAGTCCTTTATCTGTATCAAAATTGATATAATAATTAACTTATATACAATAAAAATAGAAAACAATTAGACAGTTCATGTGGGTAAAGTGTAGTTTTGGACGCAAGGCACTGAAATTTATAGTAGGTTCCACCATGTCATTTCCAGGGAGATAATAGCAACCCAGGAAATCTTAGCTGGAAGGAAAACAATGGGTACAGAGAAGTACCAGAGCAGGAGGTTCCAAGAAGGTGAAAGGAAACTGGCTCAGCACATCGATGCGCCTCATTTGTTCTGCAAACCTTTTACATTCTTCTTTATGAACCCTCCAATGTATAACCTGAATGGTTTTGAATAGTATATACCAGTAAGAAAAACCAATGTAAAAAAAAAACTAATAACAATATAGCATGAGTGCTTGGCAAATAACACAGTTCAATTATCTCCCTTAAGCACCAAACTTTTCTGGAACCAGTCAGTGGAGTCCTCACACGGACTTTCATGTGGGGTTGTAAAAGAGGATTAGAACTTCATTAGCAATTTAGTAGTTATCCTGATTAATTAATTTATGCGACAATTAACAGTTTTATTGTTGTTGTTGGCAATTGCAGTTATGAAGCCAAAAAAAAAGATGATGAATAAATTCATGCTCAATATTTCTTATACAATTTGTCAGACTGTATCTTGATACGTTTTTGAAGAAATGGCATATTTCAGTTTATGTTGTAAGTATCCAGAGTAACTATATGTCATATGTATTACCTACAGACCCTTTATAGAAAAATTAGAAATGCAAAGTGACCAAAACCCCACTTTCAGAAACTTGATTGACCAACAAAAATAATCATTGCAAAATGCAAAGTGAACTCAAAACTTCACCTATCTAGCCTGCTTTGAATTCTAAATTGACGGTCATCACAGTGGTGGCAAAAGTTACACTGAACAGATCCATGCAAGTCCAACAATTTTCTGCAGAATTTCAGGTCCCAACGGCAAGAGCCACCCCAAACCCCCTCCCCGCCCCCCGAATTTCAACAATCCAAGAGCAACTCCAGTTCCACAGATCGTCGTTCTACTAGGTTCCAACTTCCTCCCCTCCAAAACCCTCGCTTGCGGGAGAGTAGAGTAAATGGTGTGACCGACCTGGTGGGCGCGGGAGCAGTAGGCGACGGCTCCGCAGCCGCCGCACCGCCGGTTGGCGACGCCGCAGAAGCACGGCTCCGCGGCCAGCCCCTTCGCCGCGCACTCCATCGCCAGAAACCGGAAGCCAACCTGGCCCAATCAAAAGATCGTAATACTATGTGTGTCTCTCGAAAAATTCATCAGTCTTCAGCGTCACTACTCTAAATTTTCCGTGTCCTCCATGCCACTTCCATCAGTTTGGACTCTAACACCGTCAAACTGCAGGTGTGAAAAGACGAAAATACCTTTAAATCTAAATATGTTATTAATTTTTTTTAGTATCTTAACGACTTCAAATGAAAAAACTCAAAACTAAAAAGTTGTAGATCTCGTTGAGATCTATAATTTTCATATAAAATTTATTTTCATTTAATTCCATAAAAATAATAATAATTTTTCTAAGATATATTAATCATATCAAATCATATTTTTTTATGAAATTAAATAAAAATATATTTTATATGAAAATTATAGTTCTCGACGAGATATACAACTTTCTAGTTTTGAGTTCTTTCATTTGAAATCGTTAAGATGCTAAAAAAATTAATAACATATTTAGACTTAAGGGTATTTTCGTCTTTTCATACCTATAGTTTATGGTGTTAGAGTCCAAACTGACAGAAGTGGCGTGAAAGATACGAAAAAGTTAAAATAGTGACACTGAAGATGACTGAATTTTTTCGGCGACACAACGAAGATCACGATCTTTTATTAGGGAAAAGTCTCAAAAACCAACGCCCGTCACCACTCACCACGTGAGCATCGAGGGTACCGCCGCCGCCACCCGATCTGCTCGGAGATGGCCGCGCGGGGTGCGTGCGGCGAGTGCCGCAAATGGCTGTTGGACCGCGATTGCTGCCGCGTGGGGCTTCTCCATCGCAGCACCCGGCGGCTCCGGCGCCGTGCCGACGACGCCGACCACATCAGCGCCCTCCCCGACGACCTCCTTCCCCCGTCCACCACATGCTCACACCGGATCGCATTTCCTCGTTGCTCGGCGCCGCGGCGCTGCTTGCGCCGGCAGAGCTTTCTGTCGACATCCATGCGGACATGACAGGCTGCAGCGACGCGGATGCCGTAGACCTGCCCTGCTTCGACCGCACAGCTTCGTTAAGTCTGCATTTTGATCCACGTTTGAGGCTGCCACCGGCTGGAGATTTAACGGCGCTTGAGAGCCTCTCCTTCGGTTCCTGCCACATGGCCCTGGGTGACCTGCTGCCCCGTTGCCCCTGCCTGAGCAAGCTTCGTCTTTCCAGTTGGCAGTACGACTCTATCACAGTCCACTCGACGTCACTCCAGGAGCTATATGTCTCTGCCCCGCACACCTTCGGCGGGTCGACATCGTGGCCCCTGTACTTAAGAAATTGACATTTAGCGCCATTCAGGGTATCAGCGATGAGTTCAGCTTATCGTTGTCAGCACCACTGGTGGATGATCACTCATGGTATTTCTGATCTTGGTCCACGTTTGGAGGGATATGGCGCGTGTGGAGCCTGCAATTAAAGACGCTGGGGCACTTTGTGCAGACACAACAGACCGACAGCAGGGAAGATATTTGTTTGCAGCCACAGCACCGCGCTCACGGCAACATCCTCTTGCTGCGCATAGGGGCAGAGCAAGTGCGCCTCTTCCTGTTTAATTCATTTCTGTCCTGACTATAGTTGATTTTATGGCTCTGTTCGCTGAAAGAAATTTGGAGGAATCTGGAAGGGTGAACAGTGTTTTCAGCCCAGAACAGTAAATTCCGGCTGAACTTCCTACCATCCGACGGCCCCTATATCATATTTGAAGGCTCACTTCAAAATTGCCGCAGAATTTTTCGGATGGTATGGCCATGACCTTTGAGCAAGAGATTTCCCAAAGTCAGGTGAAAAACCTCTCTGTTTTAGAACTGAAAATTGTACCAAGAGGGCATGTTTATGGAGCAATGGTGCTGGATCTACTTCGACTCTGTACCTCTGTGCAAAAAGCTTAACAACAACAACATAGCGTTTCAGTCCCAAGCAAGTTGGGGTAGGCTAAAAGCTTAAGGTGGAATTAAATCGATATCAGGTAGTTACCCACATTCTTTATTGATTTATTCAATTTGTACTGGTTGCTTGCTTCACATTGCAACTTAGTGTCAAAAATTAATAATGCATTGAACTTGATTTTCTTTTTCTAAGCAGAGAAAAGCATGCCATGTAAATTGCCATTGTGATCAGCCCAACAACTGGAAAGATCAAATTATATCACTGACTGTTCTTAAAGAAGTAAAAATCGATGGCTTCAATGGAGAAGATCACGAAGTTGGCTTATCGAAAGTATTATTGAGATGTGCTGCACTGCTTCAAAGCGTGACTATGAACTTGTCTAGAAATGTCTCATGAAGACGAGTTGCAGTGCATACATGGAACTCCCTAGCCTTTTAAAGGCACACCCTTCAGTAAAATTCAATATTTATAGCTGGTGTGGTGATCAGGTCTTGTTTGGATGATTAGAATGCTCCTAAAGGTAAGTACAACAACAACAACATAGCCTTTCAGTCCCAAGCAAGTTGGGGTAGGCTAGAGTTGAAACACATCCAGAGCCCCAAGTCACGGTTCAGTCCCTTCAATAGCTGCTTTCCAAGTACTCATATTCAAACATAGATCTCTAGGTATATCCCAAGCTTTCAAATCTCTTTTTATTGCCTCCCCCATGTCAATTTCGGTCTTCCTAAAGGTAAGTAGGTATGCTTAATTTTGTTGAACCTATAATGCGTGCTTTTATCATAGTTGATGCTTAAAAGTTGCTGAATTAGACTGTTATTAATTCTATGAGGGTTGTTTGTACTGATTGCACACAGCATGGTGATAGTTGTATTGCATGATATCTTGTGGTGGTCTAGCATAATGGGGTCGATCATGCTTGTGTCAGTCCCTTCTCTATATCAAAAGCAGCTTCATTTTTCTGTTTCAAAGATGAGCACCTTCCTAATTGTGCCATCTACTTATGGACTAATCAGTTTAGCTCATCCTTTTTCCTGCTCAGGAAGGTAGGCGTTACTGAAAATATTTCTAGGGACAGTCTCTGTTGCCGTGAGCTCCTACTCTTCTTATTGTCTGGATATTGAACAGTTCTCACTGCTTACATTTATGCAATATAAAGGGACTAGGGCAACTGCCATTATTTTTCTGAATAGAAGATTTACAGCAAGACATTAAACTTCATGGCCTAAATAAGACAAGAATTTGCATACATATATCTAGAACAACCTCAGTTTCTGCCTTTCTGGTCTATAACTTGACCTCCATGACATCTCAACATAATGCAACCTAAATAATCTGTCCTTTGTGAGTAGAATGGCATATGTAGCTCTCACCAGCTTTACATTGTCAAAAGTTTAGTCAATATAAGGGTCATCTATATTGTGCTGTATGAAAACCTCTCCCCCTCTGTGATTTGTAATCAGTCAGCATGTTCTAGAATGTGCATGCTTTGCTTTGCTCTAGAATCGACATTTCTTTATTATGGTAGAGTGTTCTTCCGCCTGCCTTTTTATGCAAGGGTTTCTTTGTGGATCAGAAGACAATCTGTATGAAACGAAGCCATGTTTGCATTTAGTACATTGCTGCAATAGAGCTATGCTATTATATTAGATTAACCTGATATGCTTAGTAAGGGAACTAGGGTGTTTGGCTCGCGTCCACAGCGCGCCACAAGTGTGGCATGCCGGCCAAACACCCATGCCGCAACTTGCCGAAGGTTTGGCAGCCGCCACAGCCTCCAGTTCATTTTTTATGCCTCAGCTTGCCAAATGTGTGGCGGACGATTCGTCCGCTGCACTCGCGGCGTGGCTGCAGCTGTGGCGACGTGCATGTGTGGCGGGATGTAAGGAAAATGGACCATTGGCCCATTTACTTTGGATTTTGGTGTTTGATGACCAACACAACCAAATTGGACTAATGAATTTGCAAGTGTTTGTTTTGTAGTCTAATAGGGTGCAAGACGTGATTTGACTTGGAGGCGCGACGTGATGATCCGATGATCAACACCTCAAGCAAGACTTTAGAAGCACAAGTGAAGACCCAAGATATCAAGCAAAGTCCAAGCATGAAGATAGGAACCAAGCCGTACGACGCAAGATCACGAAGAAAACGAAGTCATGAGAGGCGACCGGACGCCGGACCGGACGCCGGAAGCGAGACCGGACGCCGGACCGTGGTTTCGGCAGATAGCGACCGGACGCAAGGACCGGACGCTGTGGCGAACCGACCGGACGCAGGAACGCAGCGTCCGATCGAGTATCTGAGAGAGGTTCTGCAGCGCTGAATGAACGCGACCGGACGACGCCGCGGCGTCCGATCGGTAGTTCGCGGTTGTAACGGTCGGGACGACGGACCAGCGTCGGTCAGACGATTCAGCGTCCGGTCAGTAGTGCATTTGCGGGAGTTCGACTCAACGGCTACTTTCTCGATGGGGCTTATAAATACAACCCCCAACCGCCATTTGAGTACAAAGTGGAGCCGAGAAAACATACCAAGGGTGTTGATACACCATTTTAGTGATCTCCACTTGCTAAGTGCTTAGTGTTTCATCGGTGATTAGCGAGGTGCTTTGCTGCGAAGTGCTTAGGTTGATTAGACCACCGCTTATGCGCTTGCTCTAGGTGTATGCCTAGTGTTTAGTGAGGTTTGCATACCTCTTGCCACCCCGTGCTTGTGAGCATAAGAGTTGTACATCGGAGGGCTTGAAGTCTTGCGAGATCGCACCAACCGCGTTTGTGCAGTGCGGCCGCCACTGCAAAATCAAGGGAACAAGGCCCATGCGCGTTTGGCCGAAAGCTTGATAGTGAAGACGGCGGGAGCATCCGGGAGAGGCTTACCGGAAGGCACATCGGAGACCCACTTGCGCCTGGGGAAGGCCCGAGGCTATCCACGGAGTTACCCGACCGGGAGCTTGGCCCTTGCGAGGGATTCCTTGCGAGGGGCTCCATCGAGGACTAGGGGGAAGCTTGCGCGCTTCTCGATACCTCGGTAAAAATACCGGAGTCGTCGACGGGAGTTTGCATATCTCTACCTCGCTCTTTAAGCTTCCGCATTTACATTGATCATATTATTATCATTTGCGGTAGAGATAGCAACACACTAGCAAAACCGTAGTTGAACATCTAGATAGATTATCTTTTGCATAGGTTTTGCTAGAGGTAGAAAAAGAGGCCATAGTTTAGATTTAGATTTTTAAGTTGCCTAATTCACCCCCCCCTCTTAGGCGTCCACGTGTCCTACACGGGAGCCAAACACGCCCCTAGTTATGCAGATTACGTGAGACTCTATTGTTGTAGTTGCCATCCTGGTTCTTGAGGCGCTGTGGCATCCTGTCAGCCTGTTCGGTTGGCTGGTTCGTTTCGTTGCTGGTTCGTGAAGAAGTACTGCTGGCTGGTTTGTGTGAGAGAAAAATATTGTTCCGGCTGGAAACTTACGATCGTTTACGACAAGCCACAGCCAAACGAACAGGCTGTGTGGCGTCTAGGGTACGCCTCAGCACCTAGGTGACAAGTCACAAACCAAATTGAATATAGTTCAATATATGTTTTCAATGACTTTGTTGAATAAATCTTCTTTTTTGAGGCATTGTTTAATACACCTTATTTTACCTTTATTTGCTCAGTTGATTTAGGGCCAGTTGCAATCCAACTATGATATTTTTCATGTTCGCGTTTGCTCATATAGGTGCACTTTCCAGGTGTGCTGCTGAGCGTCAAAGTTGTGACCCTGATTTTGCTTTGTTTGGTTGCGACTTGTGAAGCTTAGTCAAGTTCTGCAAACTGCTTTCGCACCGGTGTAATCCTATTTCGTGCAGTTGGTTTGTGGTCTACAGTATCTAATTAAGTGTTATTAGATTCATCACGATGGTGTACCTATGTGGTGTCATAAATGTTAAAAGTATTTTATATAAACATACTGTTAGTCAAACCTAAAATAATCTGGCTTGGGACAAATAAGTAGAGCATCATTCTATTTGGGAACGGAGGCAGTACTATTTAACGGTTCATTTATATATCAAGATGGAGAAAACAAGCTTTTCAGCTTTTGAGAGGAACTCGTTTCTAATTAATTAACGAATATAAGTTTCTTTGGGTACGTTCTTGGAGTATGATGCTATCTGTATTTGGTAATCGGTATCATTGGCTGAAAAGTTAGGTACTTTCCAAAAGGTGTTGTTTATGTTTCTTATTTGTGCTTTGGAGAGAGGCAGTGGCTCTTGTATCTTTGGAGATGATGGGTGCCTTTGCTGGCAAAGCTCATGCACACGAGAAAGTTACAGGTAGTAACTATAGTAGGGGTGTCATTTGTCAATAAGAATTCGCTGCTGGACTGCAGGAGGGCTGGAGCATATGATGCACCGATGCCCCCACACGCAACTTTTGGTTGGTTGGTTCTGTCGTTGATGCCATACCATTTTGTAGCCGTCGCGTGAATATGATTTTGTAGCCGTCGCGCATGAATATGGCGAATCGTTGATGGGCACACTCGGCCGAATTGTTGAGCAGCCGGTTTGTTTGTCCGGAGGCATCGGGTGACGCTGCCCGCTCTGTCAGTGCAACGCTTTTTCTCGCATCAATTCATCATGCTTCACATCTTT